TAAATAAATAAATAAATAAATAAATAAATTGATTAATTTACCAAAGAAAAAGAAAGCAAAGCTCAGCAGTTGACCAGTTAATGTTCTTTGTAACAATAATTATTTTCTTAGTTCATAGCTGTAGGGGTCACCAAACTACATATTACATGCAGTGTTAGGCTAGGCGAGCCGTGGGCCAGATCCAGCCCTCGGGGTTGCACACGGTTCGCCTGACACGCCCCCGCGCCGTCACGCTGGCAAAACCCCACAAATAAAAACAACAAACAAGCACCAACAAAAAAAAAACTAACAGCGGAAGACGTGTTGGCCACCAAACTGCTGATTTTATAGCCTAATATCATTGAACTTTGCAATAGGTACAAATTAAACGCCACATAAAAAACAACAACAAACAAGCAAAAAAACAAAAACGAAAAAAAACCCCAGCGGAAGACGTGGTGGCCACCAAAGTGATTTAATAATATCATTGAACTTTGCAATACAAATTAAACGTGCTTTTTATAATAGAAGACATAACTTCTGGGACGTGTACCAGACTCGTAGGCCTACTAGCTCATATCATGTTCTATTATTATACATGTATAGATCTCTAGGCTATTACTAAATGACTCTTCAGACTTCAGGGTGAGCTTTTAAGGCTCAGCTCGGTCCAACTTTGCGTCCTTGGGGACACTTTACACAAATCCTCACTTTACCCATATAAATATGTAAATAGGTATCTGGCCATAGATAGACAGAGAAAGATGTTGTCAATCTGTAGTGATTTAGCCTGCTGTTTGCACTGTATGTTTCCCATGAAATTATATAGTTTCAGGTCTGCTCGGATAATGATATTCACATCATAACATGGACTTACAAAATGAAATAATGGTCGGGTTGCATTCTTGGGCTGTTATTCAAATAAAAGCAAAATAAAGTAGGCCTGTGGGGTACAAGCTCGAATCGAGTACATGTACGAAGCCTTGCTTCAATTGAGAAATTGGGAACTAAGAGACTCTTTGGCTCATTATAGGTCGTTGTATCGATATGGTACAAATCACTGACAGGCAAAAGTTGATTAGACTGTTAGATGGATGCATGCATATAAGAGTAGATAGATATCTACATATTAGATCTATGAATAATTATAAGATGTGTAGAGTAGCAGTAGATATATCCAACAGACCTGAAAGATGACATCTGTATCGGTATGGAAAAAGTATAGATCTAATATATTATTATCAATATCATCCTCTCTCTCCATCAGCTTTCAGTCGGTCTCTCTATACCC